TGCCTGTGTCTATACCAAAACAATGTAAATTTGAAACTTTATAAGTCCTCCTACATGGTTCATAACATGAGACAGAAGTTAAATGCATTAAGTCAGTTTTTAAGCTATATATTCTTTGAGAATGGTGTTCATAATTTAGTTTGGTGTGCGAAAGATAGTTCTGGATTCTGTCGAACAACAAGGTCCCTGTGTGTCCGAGTGCATGTCTATAGATTTAAAAAAGATTATGGGATAAGCTACATGTAAATTAATAGCAAAAGGACAAGATTTCATCAGAAATCAATATTTTGTAGGATATGAACATGCAAGTAGGATTTCTATGTAAGACATAAGCATGTGGCATGCATGACTAGTGTAAGGTAATAGAATAGACACAACAAGGCTAATATGTGTCTGTCTAAACAAGAGCCGGGGCTGATTCTACTACTGTATAGGAATTAAATAGCAGCCTGGTGTCTAAACAAGAGCCGGGGCTGATTCTACTACTGTATAGGAATTAAATAGCAGCCTGGTGTCTAAACAAGAGCCGGGGCTGATTCTACTACTGTATAGGAATTAAATAGCAGCCTGGTGTCTAAACAAGAGCCGGGGCTGATTCTACTACTGTATAGGAATTAAATAGCAGCCTGGTGTCTAAACAAGAGCCGGGGCTGATTCTACTACTGTATAGGAATTAAATAGCAGCCTGGTGTCTAAACAAGAGCCGGGGCTGATTCTACTACTGTATAGGAATTAAATAGCAGCCTGGTGTCTAAACAAGAGCCGGGGCTGATTCTACTACTGTATAGGAATTAAATAGCAGCCTGGTGTCTAAACAAGAGCCGGGGCTGATTCTACTACTGTATAGGAATTAAATAGCAGCCTGGTGTCTGAACAAGAGCCGGAGCTGATTCTACTACTGTATAGGAATTAAATAGCAGCCTGGTCAATTAGTACAAAATCCTCTGAATGTGAAGCCGGAGCATAAATCACGAGATTTATCTCCCTTGGAACACCATCTTAGCCCGGGACTAATTAAGCACATTACATTCCATTGGTAAAGTAATGGTCATTGTTGGTCTGGATTGACTGGTGTCTGGGACTGACCTCTGTGCTGACCCTTGATTTAGCCTGTTATGGATGGAGTGCCCTCAGAGTTGGGCCCTTGTGTGATACATGTGTTTTGGCAGGGTTAATGGAGCGTGTCATGAGAGGCCATGATTGAGACAAATGAGATCATCATTGCCTGTCTGATGATTGGCTGTCTGTCAGATTGATGGTCTTGTCCCTACAATGCAGGCGTGTATTTCATACAGAGTGTCACTATTGCACTATATATCATATACAATGTTTCCTGATAATGATGTCCTAACTTCCCACACTTTGCACATAATATCCAAACCTATGTTCAATAGTAGACATCTGCACATAATATCAAAACCTATGTTCAATAGTAGAGCATCTTCTACCAAAGGCAAATAGCAGTGGCAATATGATGAAAGAACTAACATAGATGTATTACCGATACCTTATGATTTATGAAAAAAATCATAGCTTTGCCAGATATCAATAAAATTGTTATAGAACTGTTATTTTAGATAAATGACATATTATCAAAGTTGCCTGTTAACATTCTGAATTTTGTGTGACCCTGATGGTATAAATCAAGTGATTCAATAACTACTGAGAGCCGAATCTCAACATCAGATAGTTGGCTGTCAGCTCTACTAATAAATCATGCATTTACAAACGGTCCTCCGACTTTGATCTGTGTGTTTATTACTTCCCTTTGATGTCATTTTCCATCATGTTAAAAATCCCATAATGATACAAAAATGGATACCAATTAGTGGTCAGATATATGTCAATGATCTCCTTGCTATTTGATTGGTGTAATCCTCACTGACCAATGTTAGTCCAGCTGGTTATAGTTGGATATCTATAGACAATCAATATAGACATTATATATTATGACTTACCATTAAAGATGGATACAGGTAGATTGCTGCCTCTATGTCTATATCAGTGATACACTACATACTATGATAATTTTTATCATATTTCATGTCTTTTGTGTTTCCAGTGTTCACCAAAATTTATTCTATTTCTGTAGTTAAGTCTATAACTCTGTGTGGGAAGCTATTCCAGACTAAAACTGTCCTGAAGCTGAAACTGAAATTTTGTCTGTCAAAAGTGGGTTTATTGTTAATTTAGGGATTATCTGATTTGGTGTACGAAAAGATTCCGTAGAACTTACAATAATTTGGGAATATCCGGTTTGGTATCAGAAAGCGTTCCATTGCATGATGTTATGATAATTTGAGGTTATCTGATTAAAGAGCAGACAGGTTTCATGGAAGCTGAAATGATTTTTTGGATTACTTGAGTAAAAATACAACAGATCTGTTGAAACTTCAGTAATGAAATTTAATCGATTTTAATCCTTATATATTTAACTAACAAAACACAGATGCTATTGGTATCATTGTCCATTCCTAAAGTTGTTCTTTCTCACTTTAAACAAAATATTGCTTTAAGAAGAGGATGATTTCCTGTTCTCTGAGTGTATTATCAGGTTATCAAAGGATCATTATGTTCAGCAAACCAATCAGTATTAACCGTTTTGATTGTTTGATTGAAAACCTTATTCTAAAACATTGGGTGTAATTAAAAAGTAGCTTTGGTTTCGTCTTTCAATTTCCCAAGTTTATGAGTTTGAAGTTGTCAATTTCTATAGTCCAGGCTACTTACCTAAACTGGTCTTCAGAAATGTATTTAGGAAAGTAAAATTGTGTGAAATAGCTATCTTAAATACCTTCATTTAGTCTCTTTGCCAGACTGTTGGGAGTGCAAGATCTGTATTAGAGAAAGAAGGAAACGGACATTTATGAATAGGTCCAGTTTTACAGATGTTTCTTAATATAAGGTTATTCTTTATTAATGCATGTTTTTTTATCATGGAAGTTAAGGAAATATTTTTAGTAAAGGAAATTTTCCTTAAAAACTCTTAGGAAAGTTTGTGAAACCGAGCCCAGGTGGCCTTTATAGAATATTTGTTTTTATTATGAAAAGTAAACAAAAAGGAAAAAAAGCATAAAGGATTAAAATGTATGAACATGTGGTTAAGTTAGGTTTTCTATGGTACACCTGAGGATAGGTTATACCAAGTAGTGAAGGGCCACGACCACACAATGGATTGAATGCTCTCACATAATTGCATGTGTTGTCTTAATAAATCCACAGAATCTGGAGAAATTTTACCAGGAAATGGTGAAAGTATAAAAGCACTTTAGGTCCTGGTCTGACCAAATGCTAAGTGGATCAGCACTTGTGGCCACAAATCATCTGTAATTGGCATGGGATTGATGAATGACACATTCAGATAACATCAACTCAATTAATCCTCTAACCTAGGTACCTGTTTCAGACCTACAGTGCACTGTTAGACCTATAGCTGGTATACAGTACTGTAATTGTTGTTAACACCTTGTCTTGGCCACAACAGAATTGTTAGGAGTTTAAAACACTAATTGTAGCAATTAAAATTACTGTTTAAAAGAAAGAAAATGTGTTTAAACAAGAATTATTTAAATTTATAATTAGAAAATACCGTACTGACACGTTTTTTGAGGTTTACAAGGACAGTGATTAGTTTTCTGAAAGTCAAAACTTGTAACAAAGGATGCTTTTTACAAAGGAAATTATATTATGACAGGAAATATTTTTTTATTTTTCAAACTTTGAATTTGAATTTGACATTGTGTTTGACAAAAATGAAATGTCCAAGGACATGCTCAATACTGTGTTTATTTCCCAAACTGTCATTGTGTAAGTAACACCCTTGAGTAATTGATGTCTTTAAGTAACAGGGTAGCTGGTATGTTAGCTTCTCAGTGTCAGACTTCAATCTCAATCCATTGTTTATCCATAAACATAATGTAGCTCCTATCACCCTACATCCAAGTTCTTCTGCTGAAAATTAAATCTTCAGGATGTATGCTAGCTTACTTGTAACTTTATCTAACTTCTGCTGAATATATAAGATAAATCTTAAGGATGTATGTTACCTTAGTTATAGCATGTATCTCATGTTAAAAAACTTTTCACCCTGACAAACTTTTTTTGTTGTAATTTTTTATTTTCAAGTCTTTTTTCCACAATAACAATACATTTAACATGACAAATACATACACACACACTCACACTAACAACTAAAAACTATTCAGCATAACACTGGCTTCACTCAACATCATTAGATACTTTATCATCGTCGTCATTGTTATCACCAACATCATCAACATCACCTTCACTCTCATCCACATCACTGTGTCATCACCAACATCATCAACATCACCTTCTCTCTCATCCACATCACTGTGTCATCACCAACATCATCAACATCACCTTCACTCTCATCCCCATCACTGTGTCATCACCAACATCATCAACATCACCTTCCCTCTCATCCACATCACTGTGTCATCACCAACATCATCAACATCACCTTCCCTCTCATCCACATCACTGTGTCATCACCAACATCATCATCATCACCTTCACTCTCATCCACATCACTGTGTCATAACCAACATCATCAACATCACCTTCACTCTCATCCACATCACTGTGTCATAATGACACTTATCACCAACATCCTCATCATCAGCAACGTCATTATCATAACAATACAATGACATCATCATTTTTACATCTTTATCAAATTTTCATCATACACATCCTCACCATCACTCTGGCAAACTTGGAAATATCACTGATAAATGATTATATAGGCCTGATTAATTAGTTAATGTAATGACAGCTGACACCATTGGAAGGCCGTATTCATATTAGGATAACACTACCCTGCAAAATTAGGGGCAGTTTTCCTTCATATCTGAACTAATAAAGAAAACAGCAATATAATTGCATGAAAGGCCAATACTGTACTGTATCACTAAAAAGCTCACCAATCTTTTTTTGTTTTTTAATTAAAATGAAATTGAAAAAATCGTTTACTTCAGATGGATGGCGAAAAGCAACAGGAAAATGAACCACTTCTCAATGCAAAGATGCTCAGTAAGAGGCTAGGTCATGTGACCATCGTACAGAAGGGGGAGAATGATATCATCACAGACGGAAAATATGGTAAGTTCTGGGTCAAAGGTCAAATATGGAAAGAGATATGCAAGTTCAAGGCCAGAAATACTGGGATTATGGTAAAAATGATAGAGAATAGAGTTTAAGGTAGAAAATGATAGAGGATACTGGCAATGGTGTCAAGGTCAAATTATATTACAAGGCTCTTTTGATGTACATAGGAATTAGTAAATACTTTTCATCAGAGAAAATGTTAATAAAAAACTTGGGAAAAAACCCCCCACTTATTATTTTGTAGTTGTAGTGTGTATAGATGTGGTTTGATATAGCAAATACAGTGTGGCTGATTATTGATAAGGTAGATTTACTTCAATTACTTTTTTAACCTCATTTTTATACGCCCGTCAAATTTGACGGGAGTATTATTATGGTATGGCATTGTCCGTCCGTCGTAAACTTTTGTTTGTCCGGCAATCTCCTCCTACATTTTTCGACCGATCTCTTTGGAACTTGGTATACATTATAATCATGATATGAAGTTGTGTCTGATCCTTTAAAAGAATTTTGATTCAACAATTTTTGCAAAAGTTATTGACCTTTGTTCATTTCAGTATTTGATTTTTTGTCCGGAGATCTCCTCCTACATTTTTGACAGATTTCTTTGAAACTTAGTAGGCTAAATAATCATGATATGTTGTTGTGTTTCCTTGAAAGGAATTTTGATTCTACTATTTTTGCAAAAGTTATTGCCCTTTGTTCATTTCAGTATTTGATTTTTTTATCCGGAGATTTTCTCCTACACTTTTAGCTCACCTGCCCGAAGGGCTAGTGAGCTTATGCCATGGCGCGGCGTCCGTCGTCTGTTTATCCGTCGTCTGTCGTCGTCCGTCAATTTTTCCTTTTAACGACTTCTTCTGAAAAATGGACAGGCCTAGAGTCATGATATTTGGGTGATAGCTTCGTTGGTAGGAGCCTGACAAAGTTTGAGAATGAAAATGACCTTGACCTACTTTCAAGGTCACAGGGGTCAAATATGTCAAAAACTTCAAACAACTTCTTCTGAAGAACTAAATGGTATAAAATCTTCATATTTGGCTGGTGGCTTCCTGGGATGGAGCCTGACAAAGTTTGAGAATAAAAATGACCTTGACCAACTTTCAAGGGCACAGCTGTCAATTATGTCAAACACTTTAAACGACTTCTTCTGAAGAACAAAAAGGTATAGAACTTTCATATTTGGCTGTTGGCTTCATGAAATGGAGCCCAACAAAGTTTGAGTATGAAAATGACCTTGACCTTCTTTCGAGGTCACAGGTGTTAAATATGTCAAACGCTTCAAACGACTTCTTCTGAAAAGCTTAAAGGTATAGAATCTTCATATTTGACTGGTGGCTTCCTGGGATGGAGCCCAACAAAGTTTGAAAATGAAATATGTAAAAACTCTTTTAAACGACTTCTTCTGAAGAACTAAAATGGATAGAATCTTCATATTTGGCTGGTGGCTTCCTGGGATGGAGCCAAACAAAGTTTGAAAATGAAAATTACCTTCACGTACTTTCAAAGTCAGAAGGGTCAAATGTCGTAAAATCTTCAAACCACTTCTACTCAATAACCAAAGGGTACTGAAATTGGGCCTGTAGCATGCTGGAATGAAGGACTACCAAGTTTGTTCAAATGAATGACCTTGACCCACTTTCAACCTGATGTCCTTGTTCGATATTCAAGGTCACAGGCGTCATATGTTTAAATCTTTTAATAGGTTCTTATGAATCAAACACTGATATTCTGCCTGTAGCTGTATTTTAGTCCACTTTTAAGATTACAAGTGTGAGATTAATACCAGGTGAGCGATTCAGGCCCATTGGGCCTTTTGTTATAGCATGTCAGCTAACCACTCTTTGAATGATGCAGATCTTATTTCAATGTAAGAAAGTATATAACACTATATGGCATTCGACGGGCGTATATATTGTTCCGCCTGCGGTACTCTTTTTCATTTACTACTGGTATTCTCACCAAATCGTCCTGTAATAAATGATTGGTGTGTGCAGTTTCTGTTAAACTCTTTATTAATGACTACCAGCAGCTTAGATGTTAATATCTGTACCAATCAAAACAGGGGTACAGTTTCCTGACCTTGTAGTGATGAATGTGGCCCTGATCAGTGAGACAGTTCGTTGGTCTGTATAAAGGGGTCGTTCTTAGAAGGGTCAAGGTCATGGATAACACGTGCTAGCATGATTATAATTATTTATCATTATCCCAGTTTATTAGATAAATCCAAAGATCCTTTTAATCAGCTAATATTGTTTTTTGTCTATAAAAAAGATTGCTAAATATCTATATTATGACATTAGTAATGAAAATTAACAGAAAATCGGACATGGTGTATATATTCAACACATTGAACAGCACAACAAGTAGTCATAGTCCCTTGTGCTCTTAGCGTCCCAACTCAGGATATTTACTTTTTCTGTAACTGATTAATTTGTAATCATTTCAAGTCCTCAGCCTCCTTGAAGGAATGTATTAGGATAACAGATTATGTGAACACCTACTAAAACCCTGTGGTTTCCTGATGGGAGCATTTGATGGGTTTTGTCACGGAATCCTTGAATGCCTTTCACCTATGAAATATACATTACCTTTATGTTGGGTTTGACTCGGATCGTTATAGGTGGGACATTACCTTGATAAATTACCTGTTAGCTACCTATCATCAGGTGTGTCTAACCTGTGAGGTAAGAATAGGATAATGATCGGGTCATATCACACTTTCAGGCTAACTTCCTGCTAAAGTGTCATCCAATGCTGAGTCATTTTAAAAATGTGTGCAGCTTCTACTTTTGTCTGCATATTTGTTTTTTGCCCATTTCTTTGTATATTTTCCCATTCATCCATGTCTTGTAATTCCAATACAATTGACTAATAGTAAAGTATGGGGTAGAATATGAAATACTCTACCTCATATTCACATTCGTTATGTTGAAGAATGATTTCTAAGAACCTTGTCACTGGTTTGTTTGTTTGTTTGTTTGTTTGACCTTGAGTCTTGTTTTGACCTTGGGCTTGGTCAGAGTCTTGCCTATCAGACCTTTAGTGTGATCTTCAGACTGTTTGTTTGACCTTGAGTCTGATTTTAGGATTGTTTGTTTGACCTTGAGTCTGATCTTATGATTGTTTGTTTGACATAGAGTCTGATCTTAGGATTGTTTGCTTGACCTTGAGTCTGATTTGAGGATTGTTTGTTTGACATTGAGTCTGATATTAGGATTGTTTGTTTGACATTGAGTCTTATCTTAGGAATGTTTTTTTGACCTTGAGTCTGATCTTAGGATTGTTTGTTTGACTTTGAGTTTGATCTACAGATTGTTTGTTTGATCTTGAGTCTGAACTTAAGATGTTTGTTTGACCTTGAACTTGATCCCAGGCCTCTTTGTTCATACAACTTTGAATCTTATCACATGTTGTTATTTGGCCTTTACCCTGTACAATGTCCTGCTTATTTGACATTGAGCCTGGTGCGTTATCCTCATTTCAGATATGTCTATCTGACCAGTGTAACCACAGTTAGGATGTACAGTACACAATTATTTACTGTCTAACTACATTTAAAATGTAACTATGTACTGTCTGGCTGACCAGTGTAACCACAGTTAGGTAGTAACTATGTACTGTCTGGCTGACCAGTCTAACCACAGTTAAAATATAACTCTGTACTGTATGGCTGACCAGTCTAACCACAGTTAGGTAGTAACTATGTACTGTCTGCATGGCTGACCAGTGTAGCCGCAGTTAGGTAGTAACTATGTACTGTCTGGCTGACCAGTCTAACCACAGTTAAAATATAACTATGTACTGTCTGTCAGACCAGTGTAACCACAGTTAGGTTGTGACTATGTACTGTCTGACTGACCAGTGTTACCACAGTTAGGGTGTAACTATGTACTGTCCGTCAGACCAGTGTAACCTCAGTTAGGTAGTAACTAGGTACTGTCTGTCAGACCAGTATAACCACAGTTAGGTAGTAACTAGGTACTGTCTGTCAGACCAGGGTAACCACAGTTAGGTTGTAACTATGTACTGTCTGGCTGACCAATGTAACCACAGTAAGGTAGTAAGTATGTACTGTCTGGTTGACCAGTCTAACTACAGTTAGGTTGTGACTATGTACTGTCTGTTAGACCAGTGTAACCACAGTTAGGTTGTAACTATGTACTGTCTGGCTGACCAGTATAACCACAGTTAGGTTGTAACTATGTACTGTCTGACTGACCAGTGTTACCACAGTTAGGTTGTAACTATGTACTGTCCGTCAGACCAGTGTAACCACAGTTAGGTAGTAACTAGGTACTGTCTGGCTGACCAGTCTAACCACAGTAACCACAGTTAGGTAGTAACTATGTACTGTCTGGCTGACCAGTCTAACCACAGTTAAAATATAACTATGTACTGTATGGCTGACCAGTCTAACCACAGTTAGGTAGTAATTATGTACTGTCTGCATGGCTGACCAGTGTAACCACAGTTAGGTAATAACTATGTACTGTCTGGCTGACCAGTCTAACCACAGTTAAATTGTAACTATGTACTGTCTGGCTGACCAGTGTAACCACAGTTAGGTTGTAAATATGTACTGTCTGGCTGACCAGTGTAACCACAGTTAGGTAATAACTCTGTACTGTCTGGCTGACCAGTGTAACCACAGTTAGGTAGTAACTATGTACTGTCTGGCTGACCAGTGTAACCACACTTAGGTTGTAACTATGTACTGTCTGGCTGACCAATCTTACCAGAGTTAGGTAGTAACTATGTACTGTCTAGCTGACCAGTGTAACCACAGTTAGGTAGTAACTATGTACTGTCTGGCTGACCAGTCTAACCACAGTTAAAATATAACTATGTACTGTATGGCTGACCAGTCTAACCACAGTTAGGTAGTAATTATGTACTGTCTGCATGGCTGACCAGTGTAACCACAGTTAGGTAATAACTCTGTACTGTCTGGCTGACCAGTGTAACCACAGTTAGGTAATAACTCTGTACTG